ACTTACAGGTCAGATCTTTCAGACACTGCGAGTGTGTGCCTGGGCCTCGAACTTCCGGCAGAGGCCTGGGGAAGGAGAAGCCGATTTCCAGCGACGTACTTCGACCCCCGATGGCAGAACGCCGCGCCTGCTGGACGCCGACGCGCAGGCGTTCACTCAAGCAGCGCGCTTTGTCCGACAGGGTGCGTATATGAGCCATGAAGCTCTGGCGCCCTGGCCGCGGAAGCACTTGGAAGCAATCTTTCCAGGCCGGACTTCACAAGCATGCAACGGCTGAGGGAAAACAGTTTCTCACACCTGGCAGCCGAGACGGATAAGCCAAGCATATGGAGGTTGCAGTTTGCTCTTCTGAATGGGTCTGGGAACAGGTGCGGAAACACCTGAATGCATCGCACGTGAAAATTGGCACAGACGAATTTCGGATCTTTTCCGAGAACTCAAAATTGGTTTGAATACGATTGTAAAAAGAACTTTACAGAGAGGGGTCATCACAGACGGGCAAGCAAAGTTTGTTCGCTCGAATTTCACCTCGTTCATGATCCCGCTCTTCCGCATCAGCGCCACAATCCACAAATCGCCGATCGAGTCCCGGCCGATGAGTAACCCACGAGGCTTTCTTTTGGGTCCTGCCAGCAATTTCTTGAACGCGGCCATTCTCCCCATTCAAAGCCAGACGATACAGTCGCTGTTTCTATATATAGGACATAGTAGCAAACTACGGAAATGATATGTTGGGCGACGACGACATGTTCATGACGTTCGTTTTAACTTCCTTGTGCCCGAGCCTAAACTTGTTCGACGAAACCGATGGGGTCCTCAGCGTACTCGCCCTTGTGATCAGAACGTAGATCATTGAGAGAAGTCGAGGGGCATGCTGTTTTCCTGTGAGCTTTCGAAGCTAATCCTGTTGGTTCAAACCGCCTTGGTTGCTGGATTTTTCAAGCGAACGGACGGACTCACGACTGGATTCAGTTGTTCAAACACCATTGTTAACATCTATCTCGCTGAGCATGTCGCTCGTTACCTGCATGGACGAGTACACGTACGCAGATACAACATATACATCGGCGACGTGTCCAGTATAGTGAAAACCGTACAAGCACCTGAACTATTCGATGCCTCGGATGGATGGCGGCCCTGGGTCTATGTAAAACGATCAGATATTGCATTGGGTGAGGCAGCACATATTCGTGATGTGAGCTTGCACGTTGGGCCAAGCAGACGAGTGTATGCAACAACATATCGTAAGGTTTTCAGCGTACGCGACTACATCCCCCATCTTACGCACACCACCCCTTCCACTTTCGCCAGGTAGGTCAAAGGCGAGTTGCACCAGTTGATGTTGACAAACACGGAGGACGATCTCCATAAGCAGGTGTTGTTTTTTCATGAAACAACTCCGACCGCGGGGTTACCGCATGAGGCGAGTAGGCCTTATATTCAGTAGCTATAGCTTCGATCACCGGCGAAATTCGATCGCCAACATGTCAAATGGGGGCAGCAGCAGGTGTAGAAATGAACGTCCTCTTTTCCGCAATTTCAGTGTCATTTTTAATTACGCACAGGGTTTGGAGAAAGTCCGTCCCCGGACGGCTTTCCGAAGAGCAACCCAAATTTTGTGCGCCAGGTTGGGGGGCCCAGCGAGAGTCCGCCGAAGGTTCGGGGTAATCAGGAATATGTTCAGACGGCTGTAATACAGCCGTGTGCCTATACAGCCGCTGTGTTGGCACACGTGGCGGGACAGGGCTTGTCCCCACCCGACAGGTTCGGGTCGTTAGGTTTTAAGAACAGACTTCCCGACCCGCCCACTCTGCATACCGCGGCCGCCAGATCCCTAGGTTCCCGAGCATCCCCGAGAGTCCCGCCTCGCGCTCCTTTGCATACCGCGGCCGCCAGATCCCCAGGCTCCCGAGTATCCTCGGGAGTCCCGCCTCGCGTTCCTCTTCATACCGCGGCCGCCAGATCCCCACGCTCCCGACAGTCCCCGAGAGTCAAGTCCCGCCTCGCGCTCTTCTGCATTCCGCGGCCGCCAGATCCCCAGGCTCCCGAGTATCTCCGAGAGTCCCGCCTCGCGCCCTTCTGCATACCGCGGCCGCCCGATCTCCATTTCCCCCGAGTATCCCCGAGTGTCCCGCTCCGCGCCGACAAATCAGAACATGACTGAGCGGTATTTAAAAATAGCAGAATCGAATCCAGTACATCACGATAACTTATGACAGAACAGCGTATAACACCACACCACCTAACATAACAGACCCAAGCGTAATATACCATACCATGACATAACACACCGTAACATAACACACCCTGACAGAGCAATGCATACCATAGCACAGCATCACAGCTCATAGCATCACATGGCATGGCAACGGACACACACCCAAACAGAACATGCCACTGCCTCACATAGCATGACACTGCACAGCACGGCACACCATCACAGCACAGATAACATGTCAGATATCATCGCAGCACATGTGACATAGCATAGCATGGCAGATCGCTGCATACTATGTGACGTCATAACAGAACATCGCTAGCATAACAGCATCAGCTATGGCATAACGGCTCATACGTAACAGATCACCACACCACATTTCATACCATAGCACGATAGACCATACTACACCACGCGATGACATAACATGCCATACCATGACATATCATGGCAGAACAGAACACACAGTATTACAGCATCACAGCACACACCATTATTTACCGTGGCGAAGCATACCATGACAGAGCGCGGTATGACACAATATGTCATCGCAAACCATAATACATCTCAACACCAACGCATACCATGCCAACTCTTGTCAGAGCAGGACATAATAGGACACAGCATAACAACGCATACAATGACATCATGGAGCATACAGGGCATTCCATTACACCACACCTCAAAGCAGACAAGGGCAATGCACACCATAACATGGCGTAACAGTACAGAGCATAACATCACACGCACATAGGCATAACACATCATAACATAACACAGAACCAGAGCCTTTCATAACATGACAAAGCATTTCATCGCAACATATTATGCCGCACTGTAATATAACCAAACACGACGTGCGCGCCGAGGTCAGGCTGACCACAGGAGCAACCTGGCGCAGCAACGAACGATCGGACGACGTATCTTTCGGGACAAGCGTCACGACATAATAAAGCACTTATTCAACATTATCGAGGCATACAATGACAGAGGTGATCATGCCATAGCACAGCTTAACAGACGAGAAACATAACTTTAAAAAGGAACTTCATGGCATACTAGGCCGTGCAAAACAACAAGCGCGTCGTGGGCGCCGGAGTCACATTGGCCACAGGTACAAAGATGCGCAGCAACGACCAATCGGACGACGTATTTAACGTGACAGGAGTCACGGCGTCACGCCGGCCCGTTGACAACATCCCAGATCAGATTGTATAATAGCAGGATCGAACCTGACAGAGCATTACATACTTAGCAACTGCTAAATACAGCAACGACAAATCAAGGGCGCACTCGCGTCCGCGCCTGGCCACAAGAAACAACAGGCGCGGCAACGACCGATCAGACGGCATATCAAAGGCGACAGACGTCACGACGTCGCGCCGCCCCGTCGAGACCAGAACATAAACAAAGATATGTGCATAGAACGAAACAGAACCGAACACAACGCGATAGAGTACAATTCAGCAGAGACCGAGAACTGGTGGCCTATCACACGCGACATGCGCGCCAAGCCCAGGCTGGCGACAGAAACAGACAGCAGCAGCAACGACCGATGATAAGCCATAACGAACGTGCAAGGCGTCACGACGTCACGCCGGCCAGTCCACAACATAGCATAACATAGCATAGTGTCATATCCCACACTGGGCCAGAATCGAACCGAACAGAAAACAAAAAACACAATATTACGAATACGCCAGCCTCCATTTCACTGCGTCTCATCAAACGCGACATGCGCCCCGTCGTCAGAGGAGGACGGGGTGTCCGGAGCAGGAGGAGGAAGGATAGGTCCGCCTCACCTCCTCCTCCTTCGTCGTCCGCCTCCTCCTCGCGCTGCTGCTGCTGCTTTTCCTCTTCCTCTTTCAACAGGCTGCAGATTCTCTCCGAACAAGTTCTGGGGTCTCGCAGAACTCGTTTTGGGGGCTGGTTTGTCGCTCCAGGGAATTGTTCCGGTTTCTTTCGTCAGGGGCCTTGGGGTTGCTAGACTTTCGGAAGACATCAACTTGCGACCTGGCCCAGCCGCTGGGCTGGCCGAGACCGCCGGGCCCCGCGCACATCGTTCCAGTAGGCGCGCGCACCGTTGAGAACTATCGCCGAAGGTTTCGGTGGGGATCGCCCGAAGCAAAACAATTTAGGGTGCCTTGTTTTTATGGCCACCGGTAGCCGAAAGAACGTGTGATGTTCCAACTAAGCAACGTGTGGGTGGAGGCAGGATTTGTCCCCCGCCAGTGTTTGAGCATTGTGTGGTACGTTCGAGCATCATGTGAAGATCGGTCTGCATCCCGTTTCTGGCAAGAGAGTTGCATACACTTTTTTTACAAGCTCGAGTGGGCGCCCCGTGGCTGAGGAGAGGAGAGGACAGCAGCAGGGGGGGGAAGAACAAGACGAGAGGCAGCAGCAGCAGCAAGCAGTGCAGACAGGCGCGGCCGCGGCCGCTACCTGGCACCCCGACTTTGCGGGGTGCCGCTCTCGCCTCCTGGCGCCCAGCAGGCCCGCGAGCTCGCAGAGCTCGTCCCTGCCCAGCCGCGCCGCCCGCCCCACAGGGGGGAAAGGCGCGCGCCCCGCGCCCGGGGCCTCCCAGGCCCCGCCAGCCCTGCCCAGGCGCTGCGCCGCCGCTGCCAGCGCCGCGGGCCCGTCCACGGCGGGGTCGCCCTCCGCAGCCGCCGCCAGCTGCGCCGCCTCCGCCGCCAGCTCTGGGAAGGCCCGGAACGCCTCGGCCCTCGCCCGGAGCTCCCGCGCCAGCTCCGCGGCCGGGAGCTTGCACAGCCGCCGCATGGCGTCAGCCCCCGCCGCCCCATGAGCAGGGGGGCCGCTGCCGCGACGGCGCCGGCCTGGCGGCGAGCGACGCGCGCGCCTTGGCCGCTCGGCCGCCTCCAGCACCCGCTCGACGACCCGCCGGCGGCCCAGCGCATCGGGGACCGAGGCGGCCTCCTCGAGCTGGGCACACGCCTCGCGGAAGCCCAAACCGCGAATGGCGACGCGAAGCGCCGGCGCCGGCGCGCGCGCTGCCGCCCACCCCGAGCTGGCCAGGCCATCCCGCAGCTCCTGCACGAAATCCTCCCTGGAGATTCCGTCGCGCTCCACACCGTCGCCCTCCGCCCGCGTGGGGGGGGGCCGGGACCAGCGCGCCCGCCGCGGCGGCGCTGGTGCCAACGCTAGGCGGGCTGGCCGCCTCAGAACCGTCGCCCTCGTGGAGGGCCGGAGGCCGCGCCGCCTCAGCGCAGGGGCGGGCGGCTGCGCGGGGCGACCCAGCAGCAGCCCCACCCGCGTAACCGTCGCCCACGGGGGGGTCCGGGGGCACGTCGTCCTCCGAGAGGTGCACCCAGCAGCGCTCGGCCGGGCGCACGCCGGGCAACCGCGGGACCGCATCGTCCAGCGGGGCCCCGCCGCAGGCCGAGCGCTGGCGCGGAGGCGTGGCAACCGCGATCGCGCCGCCCGAACGCCCTGGCGCGCCATGCCAGAGCCCCAGATGCCAGTTTTAGCACAGGCGGGAGAGACGGGTTTGCAGCAGAAGCGCTTCCCCACCTCCGCGGGCATTTGCTTTAGAGGCTCCACAGAGGGCCGTGCTGGCAGCACGCATTTTGCATTGTACACGCGCTGGGTCTTAGGAACAAAAATCACAGTGGGTGCGTCCGCATCCGGCTCCTCGCTCATTTCGGCGGGTGCGTCCGCATGCGGCTCCCCGCCAATTTCGGCACACAACTCCCATGTTTCGTCGCGCCATCGGGAGCTGCCCCTCCTCTGTCCCACCTGCCTTGCCATATGCACACTGACACATGCCTGGGTCCATTGCCCAGACAATCCCACTTTCGGGGCACTCGCCAGCGGGACAGGTTCTCCTCGTGGGCCGCGCACCCCTGCACCCGAGGCTACAGGACCTCGGCCCGTCCGCTTGCCATTACGGCTGGCACGAGGGTTAAGAGCAACCTTGGCTGTAAGTCGGGCGTGTCCCTCTACAGGAGGAAAATTCAAAAATAGTCCAAAAATAGTCAGGGGACGAATGTTTGATTATTTTCTGTTTATATTTGTTTATTTTTGACTATTTTATATTTTTCCTCCAAGGTCTGCCTGCAGGGGGACATGCCCGACCTAACCCTAGCTGTGGATTGTACCCCTCCCTTTTCGGGTTTGGGCTTTCCACCTTGGAATGCTCTCGATGTCGGGTACCTCCACGTTGCCACGTTGGGCCTTGGGCCTTCGGCAGAGTGGTACTGCTCTCGACCCGCGGTCTGGTGGCCATGCGTTCGATTGTAGCGGCTGGCCAGTCTGCGAGCGAGCGGGCCCATGGGCGCACGGGCTCCCAAAGATGCCGTTCGCAGCGCGATTGGGTCGGAAAAGCGGGGGTGGGAATGGGAAGTGGAGGGGAACGAAAACTGCTACATGCAGCTGGCTTCGGCCCTGCCGCCGGGCGCTTTCCTCGATGCGTGGGCGCCTCAGGCGCCGGGAGGCGCCGGAGAAAACCAACCACGCAAGGCGCCAACCCCTCCTTTGATATGGTCTCCCTTTCGTCTGCAGCAGCTGCCCCGATGGGCATGGGCGCTGACAGGAATTTGGACTGGTCTCGATCGCCTCAGGGGTGCTGGAGTCGGCGTGGGTGCGAGAGCGAGCCGATTCCATTCAGAACCGGGGGCCCAGAGGAGCTATACGAACCCTCGTGCCCCCCGCCCCCGCGCCTCCAGGTGCCGCAGGCGTTGATATTTTTCACGCGCGCATGAATGGTGGTTTCGCGCTCTCCCGAGTAGGTCCAAACGCGGTTGTGGAAACGTGGTCCAGGTGCATTCCGGCCAGCAGGAGATCCCAGGTATCATCCATACCTACTCTAAAACCTAAACCGCCATAAGTGGCACCTGGAACATTTGCATCTGGCACCTAGAACTCGTCCGTCTTCGGGCCAACTGGCCTCGACGTAGCGCGGCCAGGAGCCGATGAGGACTTACCTTCCCCTGGAAGGAATACTCGACGTGAGTAGCCGCATGGTATTGTTGTATTGCTCCCAGATTGGATTCGCATTGGGTCATATTGGGGCCATAGGTGTCATATTTGAATCGTTGGATGATCTCGGGGTCGATTCGGCGTCACGCGGTGCTTCTGGCTCCGTCTTAGCGCCACAAGGACTTTTCTTGGGGTCATGTCGGGGTTCGCATGGGCCACTTTGGGATCATCTTGGACTCACGGATTCGCTCGGGAACTACACTTGGGACACGAAGTTGGGGTCATCGTAGGGCCCTGTTGGGGTCGTCTTGGGACCATCGCGGGGTCACGGTGGATCGCGATTCTGTCATGGGGTCATCTTAGTGTCGCGTTAGGGTCCAGGGGCCACCTCAGGACCGCGGTGTCACGTGAGGGTCGCCTTCGGATCGCATTGCGATCGCGGGCCGCGACGAATTCCCCCCCGCTCACCATCCTATGCGGGAGGGGGGGGGGGCAGCCAACCAGCGTGATCACCGGCTGGCGGCGCGGGGTCGGTGTTCTGACCTTGGTGACAACATCGATGCTTGTGAGGGTCGCAGGGCGTTCGGCGCCCGTGGGCAGTGCCAAGATGGCCACGTGGCTAAGGGGCGGGGCAAAAGAAAAAGGGACCTAGGAAGGATGGGCAGCGAGGAGGGCGAGGAGGAGGCGGAGGAGGAGGAGGAGCAACTAGGAGGAAAGGGAGGAGGAAACGGAGGACGACGGTGCATATGGATACACTAGAAGGAGGAGGGGGTGGGGCAGGAAGTGGACCAGGAGGAGGGGCAACAGGGGAAAGAGGGGTTAGAGGAGGGAAGGATGATAACGAGGAGGACGAATCGGAAACGGAAGACTTGATGGAGCGGAGGAGCATGAAGAGGCAGAGGACGAGGCCAAGTTGGCAAGTTGTTGCTTGCCCCCGAGGTACTCAGCGGCCTCATGAGCCCCCCGGAGGCCCGTAACTTGCCAGAAACGTAAGGCAATGTACCCACAACAATCAAAACATAACAAATCACTCGACCCCCGATCCTCGAGCGTCGGGGTGTCGATCATGCCTCTGCCGCTGTTGCTAGATAGTGCCTCTGCCGCTGCTGTTGCAGTTGTTGCAGCTGCTCTATTCGCCGCTGCGGTTTCTTATGATGCTGGCTTCGTGCTCGGATGCTCCTCTTGTTGATGCTGATGCTGATGTACCCACCTCCCGAACAAAACAACTTGATGCAAGTAGGCATTGGTCCATGGGGTGTTCTTGGGATCGCTGCGACGCCGCGTTGAGGTCGTTGCGTTTTGGGATCACCTTGAGGTCATGTTGGAACCATGTGGGAGTCTTTCGGAGGCGGTGCATCGAGGACCGAAGAACCCACATCGGGCTTCTCCCTTAGACCTCGCTGCAAAAACCTTGCAATACCCTGCGAAGCCCCCCCCCGCAAAGCCCCTTCAAAGGCCACTACAATACCTTGCAAAGATGCTGCGAAGACCCTTGCAATACCCTGCGAACCAGACCCTGCAATACCCTGCAAAGACCCTTGGATGCCCTGCAATGACAATGCAATGCCCTGCAAATGCCCTGCAATCCCACAAGCCCTCCGGGCGTGGGTCGTCGAAGGGATTCTTTCTTCCAGCCCCAGAATACAATACAGACAAGTGGCGCGTCACGTGCGTGCCCAAGCCCCGAAAAGGGCCCCCCCAAAGGGCCTGAAGAGTGACCAAGAGGACTCCAAGAGGGCCCGAGAGGCTCTGGGAGAGCTCCAAGAGGACCCCACGATGACCCCCACGAGGGCCCCAAGAGGCCCCCCCGACGGATGCTACAACTGGGGTGTGCGTTTGTGTGCGTTGTAGCATCCGTTGGGGGGCCTCTTGGGGCCCTCTTGGGGGCCTCTGGAGGCGGTGGTGGAGCCCGCGGAGGGGTCCAAGAGAGCCTCGGAAGGGGCCCAACAGGGCCCCAAGAAGACACCCGACGGACGCTAGAACCGGGGGGGTGCGTTGTGGCATCCGTTGGGTACCTTCTTTGGAACAATCTTGGGGCCCTCTTGGGGTCCTACTGGGGCGCTCTGAAGGCGCGGGGGGGGCCCGCAGACGGCCCCGATGGGGCCCCAAAACTGCCCCAAGAGAACCCCAAGAAAGCACCCGACGGATGCTACAACACGGGGGGCGTTGTAGCATCCGTCGGGGGCCATCTTGGGGCCTCTTGAGGCCCTCCGAAACCGCACTGGAAGGCCCTGGAAGGCCCCGAGAGGGCCCCAAGATGACGCCAAGAGAACCTCAGGGTCCAACGACCTGTCACAAAACACCTTGTTCGTGACAGGCTATTGGCTCCCCTTGGAGCCCTGTTGAGGCCCGCTGAGACCGCGCTGGAGGGCCCTGGCCCTACGAGAGCCCCAAGACGGCCGACAGCGGGCCCCAAGAAGGCCCCGAGGGGGCCCAAGGGACAGCCACGTGGGCCTCTCGTGCATGACAAGTTTTGTAAACGACCACTCTTGTATATGACACGTGTCGTATACGACTACTATTATAGATGGCCCCTCGGATCCAGAACAGGCCCGACCACTGACAGATTTTGCGGATGTCTCTGCCGGAGGACCTGGGGCCTGAATCCCACCAGGCTTCTGGGCGCAGCTGGTCTACAGCGTTTGCTCTTCCATCGTCCCTTTTCCCCTTTGTGGATGGGTTTGCCCCTCCCTCTCCCCGTCTCCCCCTGGGTCTGGACGGGGGGGCGGGGAGGCGCTGGAGCGTCCAAGATGGCCCAAGATGGCTCCAAGATGGCCTCGGAGAGCCCAGGGTGACATCCAGGGTGGGTTAAGATGGTTCAATATTGTTTCCAATATGCTTCAAAATGCCAAGAGATCGCCCCAAGACGGGTTCAATTGGCTTTGGGGCCTCCAGAGGACGCCCCCAACAGGCCACAACCTTTCCCAAACCTAAATGTAATCGGTGTTGTTTGACTTCTCGCCTTGTCGCTTCCGGGAAGCCTCAAGACGGTTCCAAGATGGCCCAAGGCCCAGGAGGGCTCCAAGACAGCTCCAAGAGGGCCCTAAAAGCCAAAGAGGGCCCCAAGAGGCGATTATAAGGGGCTTTCGAAGCGCAGGGCAAATTATCCCCGCTGTGTGAGCAACGCATACTTCTAACACCACGTTGGCTTTAAAAAACGTTTGCTTTTCGGAGGTATCTATGGGAGGCGTTTGGCCCAAGGGGGCTCCAAGATGGCCCCATATGCTTCAAGATGGCATCAAAGATGGCGCAAGATGGCCTCCAAGAGATCATGCCGCTCTAAGACGGGTGCAAGTGGCCCTAAGAGGCCCAAATCCTTCCCAAGCCTTGACCTAATCAGTGAGTTTGGCCTTCTCGCAGGCTCGTCTCCGATAGCCTATACCTCAAGATGGCTCCAAGAGGGCGCAAGAGAGGCCCGAGAGGGGCCCAAGAGGCTTCCGAGACAGCCCCAGGAGCGCCCAAGAGTGCCCCAAGAGGCGATCTTAGGGACTGTAGACGGGCAGCGCTAATTG